GGTTGGAGAGCCTGAGTACCGAGAGATGATACCCTTGGCATCCTTGATGGATACCAAGTCTTTGATGGCTGCTGTGGAAAAAATAGCTACCGGCTTAGTGGATTCCAATGGAAGAGCCAAAGGTGTGGGCAATGTCCCCCATCGCGGTATGCGAAGGTGGAGATTGTACGAGCTGGAAAATCTAAAATGATCCTGGGATGCTACCGTCAGGGTGTTCGAATCGCCCGTAACCACTCCTATAGAGTAGTATCTGGTCGCTGAAGGAGTCTTACTAATGGCTTGAAACAGTAGCGACTCCATCTCAGAATCTGTGAGTCGACCCACACGATACATATCGCCTGCGCAGTCAATAATATCAATTGCAGAGGGTTTGGCAGCACAAGTAGAATAAGTAACCGGGTCAGGAGGTACGACAGTGGCGCGAGAAACAGTGAACTGCAAGAGGGCAAGCAAGCACGCAATTGGGAAAACATGATGATTCGCCATGGCGTCGCCGCAGCGGCGACGACGCTAACTCGCGCTTTTGTTCGACTGGACCTGCCACCATGTGTGAGGTGCATGGCGAGGGAGAGAAAACACTTGACGGCTAACCGAGTACTGGCTTTATTAGACGAAGCCACACAACAACACCGGCCCTCGGCTGAGACGGGGACGGGACTGACCTCCAGACAGTCCCTCAGGTCCAGCTGACCCAACTAGTGGCGCGCCCTGGCGGTGGCGCTCCATACTAACGTCTACTGCTAGCTATCCACACATCCCCCCTTTTGTAGATTTTTTTGGATACAAAAAACTAAAGCAGAACACGTACAGATACTGGGTGAGGTTGCATAAACCGAATTTGGACCACGAGATTGTAGGGTTGATCACAGTACATGATTTAGGGGATCATCACTAGGCAAAGTTTTACATTGTTTTTTTTTACGCTGATGATGGAAAGAGATGCCTTGCTCTGCAGTTTTGTCCTCTGGTGATACACATTCTGAAATTTTCAGAAAATGCCTGGAAAATACCAGTAGAAAAGAGAGTTCCATGTAGAGCCCTAGATAAAGCCCAATATCGGTCCTACAAGGCCTGAATTGTTTGTCTACATGTTGTGACTAAAATGTTTTACGTCCATTAACATCAATAGATGCATGGGAATGTAGCTAATCACCTACTGTCCCAAGTTACCCCCGGTCATGGGGTAACTTGGGACACTCTTTCGCGACCGCTTGCAAACGATATAATCGAGGCAAATAGACTAGACAAGCGTGAAAACATGGGGAAAGGGTCAAACATTAACACAGTTAGAATCCAATGGTCTGGGTTGAGAAGCTTGCCTCTGGCGTTCAAAAAGCGTGAAAAAGTGTCCCAAGTTACCCCCGTGACGGTACAACTACGCCTCAGTTTTACCAGTGTTTCGGTTTTCAGCTCTGATATTCCAAACGCTATGAGTATAGCACGTATGGTGCAATACAGCTGAGATATCGCACCATACGTGCAATGCATCCCGAAAATGGCCTATGCTAATGCATGGGAATGGGGAGGCATTGCACTTCATGTGCAATGCTTTTGCATTGCACCATTGACGCTACACTGTCAGAAAATTCCGAAAAAAAAAGTGGAAAAACCATGGTGTTTTTCCGAAACTTCTGCATGGAGCTCTCCATAAATGCAAATTCTGGGCTCTCTCCGAAAAGTTTCGGAATTCTGAACAAAAATGCATGCTTCATTATCCCGAAAACACAAGAAAGGGTTTGCAACCAGCTAAAAAAAAGAGGGTAAGGTAGACCCTACTTGTTTACCTCAGGTTTTCATAATACTACAGGATGTAAGTCCAATGAGCTCGAAGGAAATCATCCCTTCTTTGACCATTTCAGACTAAAGAATGCTTCAGCGAAGCCCTCTTTAACAAATCTGAGAAAAGATATACATTTTACCTCCCCAAGTAATGCTCCGAAGAACATCTGTTTGAGCTCTGAGAAAATCTCTCCGAAAAAAAGATGGAAAATGAATGGAGTCTCCATGTACGTGATTATAGGGATTTTCTTCATAAAATTTCGGAGCTAATTTCTAACAGTGTTCCGACCCCTAGTTGAAAAGGTCCTGTCGGGAGGTATCGGAAACCACAACAAAGTTTTTAGGTCGGTCGGCCTTCTTTTCCCTAGATCCTGATCTGGCGTACTGCTAAAGTCGAGCTCCTAGCCCCCCCCCCCTCCCACTCTTTTGAAAACACGGATGAAGTCATCCGTATGACAAGCAATATTTATCCGTAATTACGATTGCTATAAAATGGCCGTAATGCAGATAGATGTATCCGTAAGAACATTCTGTTTGCTGCGTGTGAAGTAGAGAATACCCATTCATTCATCCACTTGCCCCGTCGGGACTTCTGAAGCCATGAGCCATGAGCTACTTAATTTAGTACGTAACGCCTTCCCATGACCCCTTCCGAGTTTGCTTATTTTTTATTTTTTTTTCTAAAATGCCCTTATGGTGAGAAAAAACATCCTAAAAAATTTGGTCGCTAAATATATTTGTTGGCCACGAAAACAGATGTTTTCTAAATTTGGAACTTTTTTTTACTTTATTTTTCTTAACTATATCGAGGTTTTCAGTGCTCTGTGGCTGAGAATTGGTATTCGTAGGTACATAGTTGGTGTACTCGCGCTGCTCGCTGGGGGCTCCGCCCCCAGACCCCCGCATGTGTGGAGCGCGTGCCGAAGTATTTTCAGTAAGTCCGTGGTGAGCAAAGGCAAATTTTCTGAGGAAGTAAATGTCCTGCTTCTTTGAAAGCTCTATTTAACCGCTTTTGACCATATAATAAGGCTACTTTTACTGCCCAAATAGATAGCTTGTATTGCATTGGCTACTGTGGCAGTCAATGGGTGCATACAAGGTCCGGAAAATATTGAAGACTGCTTTGACAAGGATAGAGGTGAAAGGAAAAAAACCTTAAGTCTCTACGACCACTCCTCGACCCCAAACATTTCTTTGAGTGAGTAAGTGAGTCAGTCAGTCAGTCGGATTGGGGCTATATAGATTCTTGAAGATGATTGCCCAATTGCCGGTGGCGGGGTCCCGATTACGGCACAGTTTCGGAAATTCTCGACCAGACCTACCGATGGGGCGAATAAAATTTTTTAGTCATTCGGTCCCCTTTTTGGAAGATTGAGTAGCTTTGGTCGGAAACAGTGAGAAATTTTCAACTTTTGAGATTTTTCCCAATTTTCCCATTAAATTTGGAATCGAATGGAAAAACCCGCAGGTCTCTACGACCACTCCTTGACCCCCAACATTTCTATGAGTGAGTCAGTCAGTCGGATTGGGGCTATATGGGTTCTTGACACAACACAGTGGCCTGGCGTAACAGGCTTCGGAATGCTTCGCCAGTTCCGACAATCTACGCCTGACGTACCCGTGTGTAAAGGACTGGTTTACATCGGTAAGAAAAAAATCCGAAAAAGTACGACAGCAGTGCGGCCCTAGAATCTGGTTCAAATCCAATCAGGCGAAATTCGCACGTCTCAGAAAGCAGTGTTAGTTTAATGTTATGCTAATTCAAGGATCCCTAGGGCACCATTCCAATTGTGCTGCTCCCCGCCGGACTTGGTGAGGGCTACGTCAGTGTCCGAGAGTGCGTTACGTTTCTCTAATATGGTACTAAGAGATGAAGTAAGTGCGCGGGAGATGATTGCTTACTAGCGAAACCCAGACAGAAACTCCCGTGACTTAGAAATTTAAGTTTAGGCCAATTTCAATGGTACCGAAGTTTCACCTTGTTTTCAAGGCCACTTAAGTGCACCGTTGGCGACCGTGTCGATCGCAAATCAGTAAGATCATGAAAATAGAAGATTGTGCACACTCACATTTCCTTCGGCAGCCCTCATTGCTTTAATATTGGTGTTTGTTTCAAACTGCCCCTGTTTCAAACTGCCCCACCCTCCCTTACTGGGGGAAAAAATAATATAAATAAAGGAAAATAAATTAAGTGGTCGCACAAGAGGGGGGGCGGTGCTTCCGTTGGCTGGTCCTGCGAAGGGACATCTGGGACTGTTGCTCGACCGGCGGCCATCCACGGCCCGTCCGGTGAGACCTGAAAGAAAAGTTTTGCCGAGGAAAAGAAAGTGCCCGAAGGCTTTCTCGGGCTTTGCGTTGGGCCAGCGGCTTAAGACTCCCGAAGGTCTAAGAGCGAGGCTGGCCAGGGTGCTGCTGGATGTTGGAGCAGCTGGGGTTGGCGTGCGCGGCCTGTGCTAGCAGGGCGAGGCGCACGCCGGGGCCGTCTGGGTGGTGGAGACGGGGCAGAGAGCTCGGCGCGCCTTGCTCACAGGTGCAGGAGTTGCGCTTAACCTCTGTCAGCAAGGTGGGCCGGCGCTGGAGTGAGCTGGCGGCGTTGGTCCCGCGCCGCGCGAGGCGGCGGCTAAGTGGGCCCGAGAGTCGAGGGTTCGACTCCCTGCGTTGGCGGCGGGTGTGGTTGGAGCTCGGAGGGTTGAGGGAGTCGAGGAGACTCGCCTGGGGTCGTCACGTCCGGGTGGAGGCGTCGCGCAGTCAATTAGGGCCTTAAAGTGCCTAAAGGCCTGCGTAACAGCTCCATGTAGTGTTCTGGTTGAGGAGATTCTAAGTCCGGGGCAGCAGTGAAGAAACGGCGGCTGGAGGTCGTGCTAAGGGAGGAGAAGGTCTGAACAAGTCCATGACCAATCGGTCCAAGCAGTCGGAGCGTTCTGCGGCTAAGTCCAGCGAAGGGAGGAGAAGGACTGGGGAAGCAGGTGACAAGCTCCACCGCAAGTCGGTCTTGTCGCAGTGGGGCAGCCCCACTGGGGCTTGCTCGGAGGCTGTTCGAAGGTTCGATTCCCATCGTCGGCGTTGGAGACTGAAGTAGCGAGTCGAGTAGGGAGGGCCGGGGGAGGCTGGGAGCGATCATTGCGACGTGGCTGGGGATTGAATCCAGAAGCTCACAGCTCGCAGCGGCCCGCGCCGTGCGCGCGCGTGACTCATCCTCCTCCTCGTCGTCATCGTCCTCCTCACGCTGTCGTTTCTTCCTTTTTGAGGAAGATGGTAAACTGAAACAAAAACAAGAAAAATAGATAAATACCACCGAGTATCTCGAATAGTTCACCTAGTGACAACTGAAACGAATAACTTACTCCATGCACGTGAACTCCATGCTCTTGGGCGAGTAGCTCGTCAAATTCGAGCTCGTGGAGGGGCGGCTGGTGGAGGGGCCGTGCTGCTCTGGACGACGCGTCGATGGGCCCGGAGTGCTGCTCGCCAAAGGGAGGTGGAACGATAGGGAGGACGAAGGGCCGGGGTTGCTGGACCTGGAGGAAGAAGGGCCGGGGTTGCTGGACCTGGAGGACGAAGGGATTGGTTCAGACATGCGTTTCCAGCTGGTCCTGGCCTGGCTGGTCCTGGCCTGGCTGGCCTGGCTGGCCCCGGCCTGGCTGGTCCCGGGTCGTGGGCCGCCACGTGGGCCGGGTGGTGAGCCGGGTGGTGAGCCGGGTGGTGAGCCGGGCGGAGGTGCCACGACACTGGAAGAAACGCAATTAGCTCACCAAGTTCAGACAGACCTAACATCAGCTAGCAAACGATCGGTCCGCTTACCCGCTAACCTCACGCGTCAAGTAATACATGTTTGACGTGATGCGCATGCACGCCTCGGCGAATAACGTGGAGTTCGGCTTCCTTAGCCTGGCAGAAGAGCAAGTTGAAACACACTTTTTCGGGGCCGACCACCAAGCGAGTCACTCATTCTTGACCGAATACTCACTCTTCATCGCCGGCGCGCGCGGCTACGACGGCCCTCCGCAGGCATAGCAGGAGCAATGCGGAGTCAGCTTCCACAGCGTCGTCCAGTTCCCGACTGCAAGCAGAAGGGACAGATGAGACACTTGCCACTTAGAAACAGAAGCCAGGCAAGCTAGCAAAGCCCGAAGGCAAACTCACATTCGGTTGTTCTGCCGCACCGCCCCAGCAACGTCTCCACGGCTCAATTCCTCCACGAAATCCATCTGTAAGAGGTCCTCAATTTCCTCGTCGTCGTTAACCACCTCACCCGCGTCGGGGAGGGGCGTAAGGTTGGAACCAAACATCAGCTTGAAAATTCTGGCGTTGTAATTAAACGCTCTGACCTTTGCCGGACTGAAACAGACACGTCACTTAATGCAAAGAAATGGGGGAAAAAAGAAAGAACAAGAAGGCCAGACAGGTAACTTACTCATTCCGGTTGAAGTTTCGGCAACCTCGCCGCACATGGATTGAGTAGTGCGCAAGCGAGTTGAGTGCACTGGCACAAAAGTTGCACCTGATCCGCTTCGGAGCCGCCGCATATCGGACGGGGGCCGCGACAGGCACCCAGACGCCCTCACCGCCGTCGGGCAAGGACTCACATGACGCAATTAACTCATACACTTGCTCATACATGACTGCAACAAAAACTTCGGGTAAGCAAGGAGCAGCCAACGCGTGGCGCGAGACATCAAAAACGGTTGCACTACCTTTGTGAGTAGCCGAAATATCAATGACTTTTGTGCCTGGCAGCACAAAGGCTCTTTCTCTCCGAAAAGCAAGTAAGTCATCGTTAACTTCAGCCAACACACCTGCAAACAGAAAGAAAAACATTATAAAGGAGAAACAAAGACTAGGCGGCCGCCAATTCACTTATTCTGACCATCACGAAGCGAGCACATCGGCCGTCTCTCTCTATCAAGGCGACATATGGGAAAGACAAGGATGGGTGCGGCTGAGTGGCGCGTTGGTTTGCCTGGGATCGAACCGCTCGCTAGCGCAGCGAGCCAGCCAGCCAGCGCTGTGCGAGCTCGGCTGCTGGGCTACGCAACGCAGTGCTACGAGGCGGCCAGCGGCCAGCCCACGGCCAACAGCCGGTGCCACACGCTCGGATCGAGTCCCATATAGTAGCGAGGCTCAAAACGCGTCTACAATTTTGGCCGCCTCTACCGATCTTCTGGCAAACTCACTGTGTGCCTCGGCTCGGAACGAGCGGAGCGGAGCGGGTTCACGAAATCAGAAAAATGGGGTACAGCGCCAGGCCTCTGCTGCAGCTACTGCAGCAGGCTGGGCACCGAAATCGCCCGGCAGGCAGGGGCAGAGCGCGGGCGCTGTCGAGTCGAGGCTTGCGCCGGGGCCCACTACACTCTACCAAAAATGTCTTGTCAATGCCGTTAATTTCTTACCAGTTTTCACTGTAGGTCAATTCACAGCGTTTACTGTGATCTGCTCACGCGATTCACTGTGATCTTGTTCACGGTGTTCACTGTGATCTGGTCTACAGTAAACACTGTGAGTTTGACGCCGCTGAGCCCCGAAGTACTGCAAATCAGGCTCCAATTCACGGCGTTTACTGTGGCCAGACCACAGTGAACACTGTAACCGAGATCACAATGAACGCCGTGAACTAGTTCACAGCAAACGCCGTGAATTGCATAACAGCAAACATTGGTAATAAATTAACGGCGTTGACAGGACATTTTTTGTGGAGTGTAGGCCGGCCCGGGCATACACTGACTGGATACTGGACACCGGCCTCGGCCCAGGGAAAAACAAGGATGGATGCGGCCATGCGGCCGAGCCGGGCCGAGCGGCGCGCTGGTTTGCTTGGAATCAAACCGCTCGCTGAGCGCATAATTTCCGTTTCGAAAAGTGGAGTGAGGACGACGGCAATTACCGAACTGTCATAGACAAGGAGGCGCCGGCCTGCCGGCCGCACGGCACGACGCAGCACAGCGCCAAACTGCGGACTCGCACAGACGGGACGGACGGACACGCAGCCGCTCGCCGCGAAGCCCCGCGAAGCCCCGCGAAGCCCCGCGAAGCCCGGGACGCCACCAACTCAGTAAATGGCCATAACACTAGAGAAGGTGTTGGCAGTCGCGGCCCGGCTTGGCCCGGCGCAACGCGACGCGGGGTAACTCGGTGAGCGGCCCGGACCACACGATGCGAGGGAGAAGGTCCGAAGCACCGATGCCCAGGCAGCTTGACACCTTGATGACAGGTGCAGCCCGCTTGGCGCACGCGCGCCGGCTGACTCACTTTAAGCACATGGTGCGCTTAATGCGGGCCGGGCTGAGTGATGGCCCGGTGACAGACCTGTGATGGGTAGGCAACCCGCTCGGCGCTCGCGCGCCTTCTGGCTTACTGTAAGCGCATGGTGCGCTTAATGCGTGTTGCGTACGTGCAGCGGTTCAATGGGGGTCGTCCGGGTCGTCGTCTGGGTCGTCATCTGGCGGCCTAGCTCGGTGGAAATGCTGGGGCCATCTGCGCTGTCTCGGAGTCGGGTTCCTCAAGATTTGAGGCATGGATTCAGCGGTCTTTTCATAGAATTTCTGGCAGATCTCCATGATGGGGTCGTGGAGGTAGAGAACGTTGCTTTTAGCGTGAGCTTCGACAGTACTTGAGCCCCATCGTTTCCCAAGGGCGGCGCGTAGACTGATGTTTTGGGCGGCCTGAAGGCGACCCCACGCCGCCGACGATAGCTGCCTAGCCCATGCCGGACAGCCGTGCGAAATAATGGTTCTGACTGTTGTCTTGTAAAGGTGAAGTTTTCCGCTTGGTGACAAACAGCTCCTAGACGACATGAGCGGCAAAGGATCATCCGCACAGCTCTGCACTTGGTGACGCCAAGTCCCCCACTCACCACTGACAAGTGACCACTTCGCACTCTGACCCCACATACATACTGGCCACACTCTGACCCCTATAAACTGACCACAATAAAAAAAATCGAAAAAGCAAATATTTATTCAAATTCAGGGTTCAGGGTTCAAGTTCACCCGGGTGGAAAGAAATTTGGTTTTGACTTAGTCTGGACTGTAGTCGTAGACTGTAGTGCCCAAACTGCAATTCTTATAGCAGTCAAAATAGAGAAAAACCAAAGATTTTATTTATATTTTGGACCGCAGTCTGGAAAGTAGTTAGGAATGCAGTTTGGATGTACTTTACAAGAAGTTTCGTTTAGACTCCTCACTAGACTTCAAACGATGACTCAATTTTAAGTTTAACTTGCTTCTGTCTGCATTTCCGAAACGTAATTTGGACGGGAAGCTATACAGTAGTTCTCATTTTAGAATTTTATCGGTTTGGCTGCAGTTTTATCTCTACGTTCCAAGCTCAGTCGCAACTGTGCTCTTCTCTGCATTAGTTTTTGCACATATCCACTATACTTGAAAGGTGCTTTTTCGATTATTGATTGAATTGCAAAAATATTATTCTTAGGTTACAGTTTCGTATTGCGTACAAGATTTGCAGACCCAACGTTAGATGGGAACGTCAATCGACTGCAGTAGTTCTTTGGGGGTTCTTACGGGGTTTCCAATTTTGTCTTGTTTACCCGTGGAAACGAAAACAACCCCGCAGTGAGACAGAAATTAGCTACTCTGTCACTTTTCACCAACCCCTTTTTCGAAAAATTTCTGCCTTACCGGCACACGGTGGACGTCACTTAAAGGATGACAATGGCGAAGAAAAACGATGTGGATAAGGATCGAGTGCAAATAATCTATTGTAAAACTGCAATGAAACTGCAGTTAAACTGCACCATCCGACCGGTGTGCCCCGAGAACAGGCCTTACCATGTGGTCCAGGTCGGATGCAGCAGCTCGTATGCCCGCTTGCCAGCGTAGTGGATAACACACCTGACTCGCAACCCAAAGGACCGACGATCGAGTACCGCCCAAGTCCAACAACTTCAACATCGAAAAACAGTTTCTCTACAGAATGAGAGGCGACGGGGTTCAAAAAAGCTTCCCAAAAAAGGAAAAAAAATAATTTTTTAATTTTGCGATTGAAATTTGAACACTATACTCGCAACTACAGCTACCATTATAATTGTCGCATACACTTGCGACCCTACTTTTAATTAGGGTCGAAACTGCAACCGAAACTGCAGTGTTCGAAAATACTACCAGAATATCTGTATTCAAACTGCAGTCAAACTGTAGTTTCACTAAACAAGCTAGGGCCCGCCCTTCCGTCGAACCGAGTTGCCAGCTCCGCTTCGCTGCGCCGGCAACTCGGTTCGACAGGGGGCCGGCCCAGCTTGGCCTGCCGGCGGCCTTTTCTCGGGCCTTCGGCCCTCGCATCAGACCCAACTTGGCCAGTCGGAGGCCCGGGCCTTCGGCCCGCTCGCATCACACACACCGTGAGCGGGTAAAGCAAAGTTATCGATGTACCATCGTGACTTAGGCCCGCCCTTCTATTCACAATATGCAATAGTCCTTACACTTTTTACTCCAACTGTCCTTAAAATATGCCTATTTCATTTGTCTCTTCGCCCTCATTCCGAAAATACCCATATTTGCCATGCTACTGCAACTCCTTGCAATAGAGGCACAGCAGGAGCGCAAAACGAGTCCGTCGCACTTTTCCCCATAACTCATGAAGGCGGGCTCCTGGACCCCCCTTCCGACCCCTCGTTGAAGAGGTCTTGCCAAGACCTATCCAAAACTTAAGTAAAAATTTTCAGTCGGTCGACCCCCTTTTTTCAAGATCCTGATGTGACTAACAGACGAAGTCGGGCCCCTGGACCCCCTTTCCGACCCCTCGTTGAAAAGGTCTTGCTGAGACCAATCGAAATCTGCAATAAATTTTTTTAGTCGGTCGACCCCCTTTTTTGAAGATCCTGATGTGACTAATAGACGAAGTCGGGCTCCTGGACCCCCTTTCTAGGGTTGTCATTTACGCCACTCGAATCGATTTTCGATTCGTCGATTCACAAATCGTTACAAGATAATCGATTTTTTCCAAAATCGATTTTTTAACGTGATAAATCGATTTTTCAACTTTCGATTTTCGATTCTGCCTTTCTCCGTAAATTGCGTTTTTAAATGCCTGCGGCTCAGAATAGATGCTCTGCTTGTGCGAGTCACTCTTCACAATCCTGGTCAGAATGTATAGGACGGTAAAGAGGGTAAAAGTATGCCCTTCACTCTACAAAAAATGTCCTGTCAACGCCGTTAATTTATTACCAATGTTTGCTGTTATGCAATTCACGACGTTTGCTGTGAACTAGTTCACGACGTTCACTGTGATCTCGGTTACAGTGTTCACTGTGATCTGGCCACAGTAAACGCCGTGAATTGGAGCCTGATTTGCAGTCCTTCGGTGCTCAGCGGCGTCAAA